TGGTGTATGATGAGTGGTGTATGATGAGTGGTGTATGATGAGTGGTGGTTGAACAGCTGTTGAATGTCCGTAACACGGAAGTTTTGCACACTAAACTTCCTTTGATAATTCATGTTTTTTGTAAGTAATGTTTAGTTTCAGCTAGTTTAAATCTTATACATTCAATTTCAGTTGTTTTATAATTCTAGTTTAGTTATATTTTTATTTCCAAATTAATTTTGACTAATTCTAATCTAGTTTTAATTCTACTATAGTTCAATGCAAATATATTTCTAGTTCAATGCAAATTGACTTCTCATTCAATTGTGACTTTATTCTAGAGAGAGGGTTCTGCTGGGGGTGTGATTTTAAGCAAACAACCTTTAAGAAAGCAACACATAACTTATATACAAAGCTTTCATTTTAGAAGCAACTCTCTAGAAACAAATTAGAATTGCATAAACGCCAAGATTAGATTAGAAGAAGAGAGTAGACTTATATTACAGTAGATTTAAGCATAAATTGCATAGAAATTAAACTGACAGGAAGTAAACATTAAATATAAATAAATTTACATTGAATTCCCATCAACATAGATTATACATGGAATTTACTAAACATTAACATATGCATAAAACACTCACTGTAAATACAAGTAAATTTAATGCAAGGGTGTTTTTTTTGGGGGGAGTACCAAGGATTGTGCGCGTTGTTTTCGCAATTGAGGCAATATAGTCAGAGCAAACTACATGGGTTTAGCAACACTATATAATGATACAGGTCCTTGACCCCTTTTCCCTTCTCCATCTCCTATAGGAAAATGATCGAATGCCTTTTCCGTCAGGACCGATCTGCATAATTACACCTCAACGCTTGTGCTGGACCAACTTCTTATCCTCTCAAAGATTGAAGTCGACATGGACATTATGGACGCCACGGCCAAGTCTTGGGACCACACAAGGGGGTACAGCACAAATGGAGGGAGGACGGGAGGTGGGGCCAAACATCGGGAACGGCAAACAAAGGGCATCGCTACTAGGAGCAAGGACGCTACTAGGGGCTCCTGGCATTAGTATTAGGAACAAGAAGCTAGTAGAAACAATCATTAGTAGTAGAATTTAAACTAAAAGGCCATCCGAACTCTGGCAATCCATCTGACCGTCTCATTGTTCTCACTGGTCCCTTCCCACACGGCATGGACAACACGCTGCAGCCGGTGGGATACCTGCCGCAACGCCCTTCCTGCAAAGTAGAAACGGCCCTCGGCAGATCCCCACTGGCTGAAGCAGTTCCAACCAAGAACCCAAGGCAGGCATCAAATACACATATTTGAACACACATATTCATATTTGAACTTGTTCTTGCTTTTTGGAAACAACATGAAGAAATTGAAGAAATACAAGAATGCATCACACATTTAATCAAATTGACATGCACAGGGCCTTAGCTTGCCGGTCTTCTGCTACACATGTCATCATTGCCGGATTCACCTTCAGCAGTTCAATCATTGACTCATTCAGGGGTTTCAAGGCAAAGCGACAAAGGCGATGCCCTGCATGCACCATACTAGTCGTAAGGGCCAATCTGCACACTCCACAGCCAAATACACATCTCCACGGCCATCCTGCGAAGCAGAATGTTGAGATTCACATTCGGCGAATCTTTCTTTCTGCATTGCACGCACTGTTCAGTGGCATGCGAGTCAAGCAGGGCAGGTGGACAAATGGAAGATCGCCGACGACTATATTCCGCAATTCTACCTTGGCTCATGCTCGGGGAAAGCTGCTCAAGTGCTGATTAATTATCCTGTCAGTGTCTCCAAACTACCCGAATAGTTTGTCTGCCCCAAGACATGCCACAACTCATTTGATCAAATCCCAACTGAACTGCACCCTCTTGTGCCCCCTGCGATGTTGCACGCTAGGATCTAAGCATCGAGCAGTGTAGGTTGACATACCAAGCATTTGACCTGTAAGTTTTACAAGGTTCTGCCTCAGCTCACAGTGGAGCTCTTGGTGCGTATTCATGTGATTCACTCACTCATCCACAATCGAATCAAATAGCATCTCGATGCCGCAAAGCGTATCAAATTGTAACGTTGAAGTCAATGTGCGCTGTCACAGATAATCCACTCAAAAAATGTTAATACACTTGTCATGTCATGTCATTATTATATATGCACGGTGGATTTCCGACATGGATGCCCGACAGGTTACAGTAGTATGGCCCTATGGCTCAAAGGCAAGTGCAAATTGAACGATTTCATCCCTATCCTTCCTCTGTGGAGCCCAACCTGCGCCACCTCCGAGGACAGCATGTGCACATTGTCAAACATCTCGTCCAGTCGCCAGTGCACATTCCACCTGAGCTTCTATTCAAACAACAAATTGGGACAGCATGGAACAACTTGCAAAGACCGATTGAACACTGAATTGAAACCGACTTTGAAACTGAGCATTCCTGAGCAAGGCTTGGGACACCGACAGCATTGAAAGCAACAGCACCAAATGAAATCCAGGACAGATCCGTGCAACTTGTCATCGCCCGTTAAAACTATCATGACCCTCGCCCGGTACCTGCCACAAAGGTTGGGAGCCAATCTTGCTGAACATTTACGTAAACAATCATCTTTGCAATTTCCTCAATGATCAAGCATGCCGGTCAGTTCTGCCATAGGAAGATCAGTGCAAGGAGAACAGCGGCAGTGACCAGGATTTCAGACGCCACATCTACTGGATTGATCAAAGGCACGTTTGGCACCTGTAAGCAGAACATAAACAAGACTCGAGGAAAGCTTGTCAAGTTGCATCAGGAACAAAACTCTTCAATCTAAGACCTGGGCCACCATGATAGCTGAATAGCAGCTAGTTCACTGATTGCCACCAAACTTATTGTACAATTTTTTGAGTACTCTACTCTTGCACTCATTGTTTTGACATTTGGCGAAGTCTTTAACTTTTTGGAACCTTGTTGATTGAGTCGTTTGGGCCTTCAAGAGCTGCAGCTTGAATGCCCAACCGTCTGCAATGTGCTTCTACACTCCGTTTCCTAGCTAAACCAATTTCTGGACTCAGAAAAACTGCTGCAATGTTTGAGTTTCTACCAAGCAACTGACAAAAGCATGAGGCACCTGTAAAATTTGTTCCCCAAAGCTGGCCCAGTCCATCTTGTAAAAGATGGACAACTATTGCCCCATTGTGCAACGCTCTGCCTGTGACTATTGAGCTTTACAGAATTCACATCTCAGCAAGTGCGCTCATGTTGAGCCACGACTTGCGCAAATACCGTGTTTGAAGCTTGACTCAACATCCGCTGACGTCCGTTGGCAACCTGAGCTCTGCAAAATACGTATGATTAAACCCCTATGTCGCATAACTTTCTTACGCTCCTGCTTACGCTTTTCTTACGCGACCACAATGTGAGCTTACGCGCCACGGATGTTGAAGAAGACCTTACGCAGATCTTACGCTTCTGCATTTTCACAAATGAGAACCATACTCCCATGGGCCCAAGGGAAATGCTTCCGCAAAGGCTCCTTTTTGCAGGTGAGCGGGCGACAAACACATGATCACTACTGTAAGACTCCGAAGCAAAGGAAGCAAAGGATCACTAGCATCTATATACTTACTGGCTGCCGTGAGATGTTATGATGGGCTGACTTGAGAAAGGTTTGATACAGAGTGGCACACACAAACAAGCACAGTGCACACACCTGAAACACAGGCACAAATGTCAGCTCCCAAGGTCCATACATACAGTTCCTTTCTTGACAAGTGTGTGCTAGGAACCTACTAATGAAAACACAACCATATGGCAAGCTTACGCAACATGCATGTCTCACAACTCCCTTACGCAACCTTACGCTTTTCAGGTTTTTGCTTACGTCCAAGTTCCATATGACAAGGCCTTTACTTAGTTCATCTTGGGAGGTTTCTTGCGGTGCTCACCTGAAAAATATCATTCACATACATCCAGGTCATATCCAATATAGTAACTAGACCTTTGCCTTCCTTTGGGTATGTGCAGGTTTTCTTGAAGTGTTGGTCCGCTTTTTCATGGTTTGGTCAAGTCCACATTCAACCACATTCAAGTGTTGGAATGGAACTGTTTTAATATGGCTTGGTTTGGACAAGTTCCTCTTAAGTTGTGCGGTCGCTGTGTTAACCGAGATCAACGCAAACAGCTATGAACAAGCCCCCCAGGTGAACAAGCGCAAACAAAAAGCGACCTGTTATTGAAACACAAACCAAAACAAGATTGAAACAACCCTTACCTTTGTGGCGAGCAAACGACAACTGAAATCCCGCGCATCTACCATTTCACACTAGAACGAACACCTGGTTTAAGAACCTACTTCATTGTACGATGTGGGAAGAAGCTGCTACCAGTACTTCAACGCTTTGCGCAAGGCTGTGCGCAAATATCAGGGTACTTTGCAAAGTGGCTCTCAGCTGGTCCCACCCTCAAAGGACCCAAACGCAGGCCTTCACTGTTTTTCAGAACCACAGAGTCTCAGCAAAGCCGAGCGTTTCGGAACGATGCTGTGCGACGACAGCTTTCAGACCTTACTCTTCTAGCCCGCACTTGACCCAGCCAGTGACGTCACCCCATGGCGCAACATACCATTTCACCGCTTGAGCGTTTGTGTGAGGACGGTTCCAAAGCAACATACTGGGGCTGAACCGCTTCAGCCGCGGCAAAGAATCTAACTGTCTTGGCCGTGAGAATCTTGCGTCAGGTGGTGATCGAGTTAAACATTTTTTGCAATTCTTCGCTGCGCACTTGAACACTTGGACAGGCAATTCTACTGAGGGAAGGACATCTGACATCCGCTAGAACCAATTATCGGTGAAAGAGTGTAGCCGTTAAGTTCAAATTGTCGACAGGACGATGCGACAGGGGGCAATTTGGCCGAAGTAAGGTCATGAATGCTTAAACGCAGCAAATTCGAACGAACATGATATTGCGAGTACATTCCACTTAACCTATACCACACCGCAAGGCGGGAAGAATAGAAACATCACCGTTGTCTCCCTTTCTGCCTTTGTGTCTCTCTTTACGTCGCTATGCTACTTTTTCAGCTTCTTTTCTGTTTTGCGCCGACGCGGGTTTCAGTGCAAAAAGGGAGTTTGTGTCTGGGGTTCCATTCCTCGAGATTTGTACTTGCACCAAACCACAACCACTCATTTGTACTATTTGCAACAACACCGTACGAGTACCAGTCATATCAGCTGCGTGGGGTCTCAGCTCGGTGTATTTTTTGAAGTGTCTTTCGCTACGCAATCTTTGCTCTCTTGTCCTTTCTTTGTCTCTACTTTTTGTGTTTCGTTTCTCAACTTCTTTAGTTTCCCCTGTTCATTTCTGCGGACCTTTGTATTGTTCATTTAACACTGATGTTCCACGTGCTTTGACCTGGGGCTACTGAGCATCAGCATGGATGAAATTGATAATGGTGGCTTGAGCATATTTGGATGTATTTGGGCCATCAAAATGTTTTACTACACCGAAGCGCGGACGCTGGTTGATCTGGTCGTGTGCATGACTGCAGGGGGTGCCCAAGCCATGCCCTGCGAACTGGCCACCATTGGCCACCTCTACAGGCTAAGCGAATAGTAAGGGTTGGTACATAGCATATAATTAGCCAGCTTCATTGGAGGGCTGTGCTGGTGGAAGGGGTGCCCTTCATCTGGTGTGGCGAACTGACCTAAGCAGGCTGCATCAATCACCTCAAAGTGGGCCTTTGGGTGCAAGGTGCCCACTTGACAGAAATCTTCATGGCAAGACAATCTAGTCAAGGGCTGAAAGATGCTGACAGGGCGGTACTCTAAAGAAATTGGCCGCCGGTGTGGACAGCTCCAGGGGAAAGGTAAGCCAAGTGCAAATGCACTCACAGAATGGGCAACGCCCGTTTCCCATCTCCTGTTCTGATATTTTCTTGGTGTAAGCACCAAGAATCTTTGTTCCTTATATATTGCTTGTTGCATAGAAGCGAACGCCAATGTGAGGTGTGGTCACCATGCGTTTCATTGCGTTTCCACATATTCAATTGTTGACAAGCTAGCTAGATTAACTAGGGATTTGACATCTTACCATGGGTTTCTTTGGGTTTTAGAATCCAGAAGCTTGACAGACTGCCTGCTTGCTAGTGGCCTACACTGTTTCAAAACAATTCAAGTTTGAGTTCTCCAAGTCCGGCACAAAAGCGCTCCACCGCCAGCACACGCCTGTTGGAACACATCTGGCGGGCTGAAATCGTCAGGATTAGCCGCCTGGATCACGCTGAAATCTGCAACCTCCAAACAAGGTTTGCGGCTTTGCCCGCTTGAGGATGCATTGCTACCCATCACAACTGCAGCGTGCAAAGTCAGCCCGTTGCTGTCTTGTTGGCAATTCTCACCCGGGCTGCCTGGATATTGATGCCAGCACGAAGCTGAAGCGCCTCTCGGCACACGCAGGATCTTGTTGCAGGTTTCAATCCAAAGGGCAATTTTCAAAAGGAACAGGCCTGAAAGCCCGCATGCTTAACAGCGAAGACAGTTGAAAGACCAAATACTCAAGCTACTTCCTTTGACACGACTGAGCTGCTGCCTGAAGAACCGGATGCTTGAGATGCAAAAGCAGCCTGCAACAACATCTGTTGGCCAGTGACGGCCATGGATCATCAGAGCTTCTGCGAGTGTTTTTGGAGGCAGAGCTTCAAAGTAAACAGCAACTGTCGACCATATCTACTCGTGCCTGACCAAGGAGCCCTCTCGCAAATCTGGGCATCCAGAACACCCCTGCGCAACATCACCCGGTTCAGATCAAGGTTTTCTACCTAGAGTTGTGGCCTGTACAACTTGAGCTCTGACAAGAATTCCGTCAGCTCCTTCATGGACCTGGGAAATTTAACATTTTCTGCGAGATTTGACTCAGATTGGAAAAGCATGGAAAAGCACCAGATTGAAGAGCATCAGGCCTGCCACACAGTTAAGGTTAAAGCAATGCGCCTCGGGCAATGCATGCTGAATCTACCCGAAGCCAACTGCCCGAAACCAATTGTCTGATCAAGCTTCCTTTCAGATTGGGTTTAGCCCAATGGAAGCCATGTTATGTTTTTGAGATCGTGTTTTTGACAATATATATACTCTATATATATATAGGCAATATTGTACAGTAAGTAGACGGACTGACTCTTTCCGCAACCAAACGCCGATCTTGAGTGGCTGACGCCTTACCAGTTGGTACCTAGCAACATGGTTTGGCCAGACGGTATTGAATCAAATTGACACTCCGCCTTGCTTGCTTCTGCTTTTCCTGCGATTTGCCAAAACGGGTGGCACAAAATGGCAAACAAATAGACTAAACAAATGGTACATTATGTTACATAATGCTTTCAAACTTTTGTTTGCTTACCTGCGTAAATGTTGTTCAGCTTGTGACAAGCTATTCATCACCAAGCAAGTGATTTTTTCGTAACTTTTGTTTCACGGTGCAAACCCTTGCGTTAGGTACCACCGTTAGGCAAACATCACCTTGCAAACAACTGCAGCCCCCAAAGGCCAAAATCTTTGTCGTGAATTGCTCTCACGTTCATGCGGTAGGCAGTGTGACGTTTAGTGGGCCCTTGGAAAAGTGGTTGTCCTACCACCCGGCTAAGCTTTAAACTATTAGACAAACGATGTGAGACAAAAGGGACACGTGGAATACGATAACGACAGGAACCCAGCATATCTGTTTAGAATTGAAGAGAATTCTCACACATTCTCATACAATTTCGTGTTCCACCAACATGTGAATACTGATATTCGAAGATCTGAAGTGCTTGCATGCCGGATGTAACATACTATAGCAGCTGTTTGACCAACCAAGAAGACCATCATCGAACAATAAGCCCCCAGCAGCCAGCCTGTTTGAAAGATGACCTGTGTCAAGTAATGCCGGACCTCGTCAAAAGGCCGATCTAGCTTGATGTTCAGCAATGATCAGTCATTGCATATTCAAATACAACATACAAACACACACACACACACACGTATGTGTATATATATATATATATCTTAACTTACAGTGTATATATATATATAAAGGGTGAGATCACGCATCTTTTCTTGTTCGCTCTGCAGCATATTTGTCAAAATTAAAGGCAATTGGGAATGAACAATCCTCCCATAAATTTTACCGAGTTAGTTATCCCCCCCCTTCTCGGTCCACTACACGAAGAAGGGGGCGCTCCCGGATAACTGTGCCCCCCTGACCAGGTGGGCCACACCCCAAGCCCTGGCCAAGGGACTTTGAACTCTTTTGTTCATTTCACTCTTTGTTCATTTCATCTCAGAGCGTTTCTAGCTCTTCTTTCTCGGTAATGAGGATCAGCCCGTCCTCTGGGCTTCCCAGCAGCCCCAAAAACACCCACAACCAGGCTTTCCGAGATGAGAAAAACTCCCAGTAAGTCGCGGGTTTGGAACAATGCAGGGAAGAATCAAGTTGGCGGCGCTAGTCCGGTTGTCATGTTCCACCGAACCACTCCCTTGAAAAAACGGCTCTCTTGCTAGCCTTAGTCAATCTACGTGAGTCAAGTTTCAGGCTGTCTGTGCGGGTTTGAAACTGCAAACACAGGCAGAGCTGCGCATACTTTTACTTGGGCATAAAAGGGCCTACGGTCAGGCCTCGTGTCTGGTTATGACTCTGTTCGTCAAAAGATGAGTGCTCTTGTAACACTCCCCCTTCGCATTTCATGCGAACTTTACAGCTCAAGGCCCATCAGGGCATTTTGCCCTCTTCTTCCAACCGACTTAGACTGATCCTGTCATCATCAGGCCAGTCGTAGTCATACGGTGACTGCGCACTCCCACTCAGCGACGGGGCTTGGTTTGCCTCCATCAGCATGTCATAGGCACTTGTTGCTTCCTGCTGTAAGCCCGGGGCCCGATGCCATCGCCTTCGGCTGCTGTTCACCTCCACCTCTTCGATGTTGGTCTTGGCACGCCGACGCTGCGCTTCCCAAGCTTCCATCTGCTTGCACCCTTGTAGAGTCCGGGGTCGACCAATCCAGTCGTGACCGTGGGGAGTGTTGACGAGATCGTTCCACTTCCACTTGATCCCCCTTCTGGCATTGCTGTTGCAATGTAGCACGGAGTTCCATTGTCCGTGCGGCCCTCCACCAAGGTCAACTGCAGTGAAGGAACTTCAGCATTTGGTTGCTGTTCCATCATAATGGCCTGCCTCATCAGGTCGTTCCGATGGAACATGCGGCTTCCGACCTGCACCCAATAAATGGGTTCAGATCCCGGTCATCTCTCCCAGTCTCGCTCTGAGTCTGTCAGTGCCTGCAGCGCCAACCTCAGTCCCTCTGTCCCTCTCTGGAAGTCCCGTCCATCGCTCCATGGGCGGCATAGGAGCAGGAGGTTTTCCAATCCTCCCTGTTGTCTTTGCCTTTGCGCCTGGTAGTATAGCGCTGTCGATGCGCTTGCCGTTGAGTTGATTGGTGGTCTCTCTTCCACCCACATTGGTCCATCTGTGCTCGCCGAAGACCTTGCAGTCCTTTCTGTCGTCGTCCCAGTGCCCACAGGATCATGTACTCGCTGATGGCGCAAGTTGGCTGCTTCTTCAACTCTCATGTCCTCTGGGATCCGAAGGTGTGGAGGAAGTGTATGTTCTTGTCGAGCCCACTCCCCAACAGGTCTCGTGCCCACATAGTAGCTTGCCGCCTTTGCCCCATGCACTTGGCTGTGCAGTTCAAAGAACGTGTACCCATTCCATCTGCCCTCAATCTTGTTGTTCACCCTGCTCTCCCTCGTTGGTGGCTCAAGCCATGAGTCTTCCGAAGGTCGGCCTGGTTGCTCCCCACCAATATACTTGATGGTCACCCTCCTGCCTGTCAAGATTTGCTCATCTCGCAGTGGGTACGTGGCATCTCTGGTACCTCATTTTGCAGTGGACCCTCACCACGAAGTTCTCCAGCACCTGCCAGCGATCTGTGGTACCTGTTGGAGGCACATGGAACGGCGGATGCCACCATGGCTCATGCGGTCTCGCTCTTGGTGGGCCGCCGTCATCAGCTTGCATCATCTTGACCATTGCTCGCAGACGCGCGGTGGTCTTTTGGTCACCACCCTGACCCTGTCGGGAGCCCGTTGGGCTACTGTCAGGAGGATGGGTTCCCCTGCCGGGTTCATTTTGGGCCCTCGCCACTTTTCTTCTGGTCTGGTCCGATCTTTTCTTTTCTTTTGCATCTTCCACCATGGGTTCATTTCGTGCCCTCATGATGGTCTCCTCTGCTTTGGGAGCAGATCCCCCCAGGGATGGTTCATCTTCCCTATCCCATTTTTTCTGAATCTTTCTCAACCAGGTGACTCCTGCCAGCATGAGTGCAAGAGCCACCAAATCTACCAGCTGCGACTCAGCACCACTTGCAAAGAGCGCCGCTGCACATAGTACTGCCAACGCACCTCTCATAATGGTCCAATCATCATCATCTTGATGTGTTTGTTGCTTCACCGCCATCGTTTTCACCTGAGCAGGGGCTTTGCTTTTGTTCTCCCTCATCGCAATCTGGTTCACGAATGAGTCAAAAGCCGGTCCCATCAGCTGCTTTGCGAGGCCATCTGCTGGCAGTTCTGTCCCCTTCACATGATGCGTATGCCACCCGCTCACTTCGCACCCCACAGCTGCCCTCAGCCCCGCTGCACGAAGTCGAAGATGACGAGTTCTCCACGCACCAACATCACCCTGGCATAGCGCCAGTGCACTCTTATTGTCACCATATAACGACCTCCTCACATTCTCCAGGCCCAGAGCCTCGAGAAGAGTCGCAACCCCTTCGGCCTGCTGGAACACCTCCGTGTAGGCCACCAACTCTGCTTCTGCTGTTGAGCCTGTAATGAATGGCTGTCGTGCAGAGCTCCACAAGATGGGACATCCCGCCACCATCACGATGGTTCCATGAACCGACTTGTAGGCTTCAGCCGCTGGTGCAAATGATGCATCTGCATAGGCCTCTACATCAGCCTCACCTCTCGGGAATTTGAGTTCTTCATGTTCACCAAGTAAATGCTCACTCGCTCTTCTAAAGTTGATGCCCCAGTCTGCCGTGTCCTTCAGGTACGTCAGGATCGACCTTGCGTGCTCACAAACCTCCTTCGGGCGGCGATGCATTGCTCTGCTGAGGACCCCCGTGGCATGGCAGATGTCTGGCCTGCTTCTACACGTAACCCACTGGAGCTCCCCCACGAGTGTTTGAGCCTCTCTCAGTGTTGCAATGTCGAACTGCTCATCCTCTGCCTCTTGGAGAACTGTTCCTTTCCACGTCGACGGACCTGTCACTCCCTTCTTGTCACAAAGGTCCAGGATGTAGTCTCCTTGATGCAACTTGTAGCCATCGTTCATCCGGAGCACCTGGAAGCCACAGAACTTCAGTTCCAAGTATTTGGCTGCCCGAACACTCCCAGATGGCTTCCACCTCATGGAGCACAGACCTGACTTCCTCAGTTGGTCCTACCACAATGAGGTCATCCACGTAGGTCCCCAGGTAGGCCTTCACCTTGCCGTCCAGGTCCACAATCTTCCATACATTGGCCTCCGCCAACTGTTCCATTCGTCGGGCCTGTCCATCGCAACTCCATGTCGCTTTTCTCAGGCATTGATTGCGGTGACAAGTCCAATCCTCTGGTGACTCTCTTCAAACCATACAAAGCACCCTCTGCCGCCCACATTGTTCCAGGCGGCACGATCCCCAACTGGATTATCAGTTGAGGCGGTTTCACAAGGGTCACCCGATGCGCTGCACTTCTCTTTGGTGCCTGCAAGAACGCACTCTTGATGTCCGTGGAACCACATGTCCAGCCCCTCTGCGCCAAAGTTTCCACACCCCACAATCCTTGCCTTCCTTCTCCCGCATGGCGCTTTGCGACTGCACACTTGCATCCACCTCGAAAGCCATTCTCTTGGCGGCTTAAAAAAGAGGGGAAGTTCTCAATGTAGTGTGCTTGCACCGTCCAAAGCCAATCCCCGGATGATCCGGGCCTGCGTCTCCGAATCCTTTGGCAATCCATCTGCTCGGCACTGGTCCTGCATCTTTGAGATCTCTGGCAATCCATCTGCTCGATGTCGTTCCTGAAACGTGAGATTCTGGCGCCCCCAAAAAGAATTCAATGCCATGCAAATAGTACACAACCAATCAACAGTCCATGCAAGATCCTTGGATAAAATGGGCCCCGACAGTTCGCGAAGGGTAGGAAGGGGAAAGGTGTCCGTGTGCTTTGTCTGTACCGCTGGACTATTCTCCCCATCCGTGGGCTGCCTGCAGAGCGATGAAACCCCCGCAAACTCTGACACAAAATTTCCCCCATCTCCCACAACTGTAATCCACACACTTCTCTTTTCGAACCCTCCAGGTCCGAGGGATTGAACCCCGTCTGTACCAGGGACGCCACCGGCTCCGGCACTGGTTTGTTTCGCGCCTTGCCAACTGAACTCCCTTGAGGAAAATTAATTGGCGCCTGCGGTGGGAAAGATTCATCCACTCCGGCGCCTCCCAGGGCTGAGAACCCCAACATCGTAGTTTTTTCTCGAGGGGCCATCCAGGCCACTCTCCTCTTTGAAAGCTGTTGACCCCTTGTCACGGGTCCTTCTTCTGCTTGCCCTTTCCTTTCTTTCGCTTCTGCCGATTTCGGTCTTTCTTCGATGGGTCCAGGCCGCTTTCTCCGAACATGACCTTCTGAATCACTGCCTCGAACTCAATTGCGGCGCTGCTGGTCGACGAACTTGTTTTCACAGGGCTCTTTTCCCCGGCGGCCTCTGACTCTGAGTCTGTCTCCTTGCTCCTCATCTTCTTCTTCCTCTTTGATCCTGAGTCGCTGGTCGAGGTACGAGCCATCTTCTTCTTGCGACTCTTCTTTTTCCTCTGAGCCTTTCGCCGCAGCCGGTTGCGAGCCCTCTTTGAAGGATCCAGTCCACTGCCTCCGACCATCACCTTCTGCTCGACCGCCTCGTATACTCCATCTCGGAACTCGAAGACGAAGTCGAGCTGCTCTTGCCAGGGCCCTTCGCCCTGCCTTCCTCCTCTGCTTTCTTGTCCTTCTTTCCTCTTTCGGATTGGCTTGAACTGTCCTTCTTTCTCTTCTTTTTGTCCGATGAGCCTGAACTCCTGCGGCCTCGCTTTTGCGCCTTCTTCCTTTTATTGTTCTTCTCTTTTTTCTTTGAGTCCTCCTTTGCAGCCTTCTTCACGCCAGCTCCTCGATGTCCTCGGCCTGGGTCGGGAAGCTCGTCCATGCGATCTCGAAGTCCTGCCAATTCGTTGGTCGTAGTCACGGCGCAGACCAGGACGTCGCGCCAGGGGAGATCGGCCAACTCGTCCAGGGCTTTATCCCCCGATACCTCCGGCAGTGCACCAGTCCAGGACTGCAGTCAGCGAGACAGAGGTGAACCTGGGTGTGGAGTCTTGCTTGAACCCCATGTCAACAGGCTTCGAGGTCCGTACCCGTCAACTTCACCATGAAATAACGCCCCGATGCATCTCTGAGCTCCTCGATGACCTTCCCAGAAAACTAGCAGGCGTTGCCGTAATAGCTGGCTTCCATTCCATGGATCAGCTCCCCAATGGCTGGCTCCTCCTCTGGTACAGGGATCCGTCCCCGATCTTCCTCTTCTGCTGCTGCTGGCCTCCTCGAAATGCCCCTCCGACGGGGCTCCATAGCCGGGCGGCGTGCTACTTTCGGCGCCATCCCTCTCCTCCTTTACCACGGCCTCCGCCGTGGTTCGAGTAGTACTGTCCTCTGAGGACGTGCTTGTACCCCTTCCAGCGTGGGGCTTTCCTTTCTTCTTCCTCGTAATACTTCGGCGGCGAATGCGATGGTGTACGCGGCCGTCGGGGCAAAGGCTTTCTTGCTGAAGGCTTCAGCTGTCCGTGTAAGACTGTAGCGCTTGTCTGCCTCAGCGTCGTCTTTAATCTCCTCTGGAGCTGCTTCCTCTTCCTCCTCAGTTGCAACCTCTACTCCGTCGTCCTCCTCTGCCGGTGGACTGGTTGGCTTCTTGTCAACTTCTTTCTTCTTCTCAGGGCTTGGACTGCCCCGTTTTTTATCCTTCTTCTCCCTGCTCCTTCTGCGAGTCCGTGATCTTCGAGACCTGGATCTTGATCTTCGCCTCCTTCTCGAGCAGTCCTTCTTCTTTGCTTCACCCTTTGGTTCGGCTAAACGGCCTTTGTCCCCTTCTGCCTCCTTCTCCTCCTTCACGGCCTTGCGTGCGGGTGCTGCTTCCGAGTTGGGCGTACCCTGATGTTGCCCTTTCTCAAACAGATCTGGCCCCGAACCTCCAGGCGGCTTCCCGCTTGCAGAGTCAGAGACTGGCGCTCCGGTACTGTCCACGTAGCCGGCCGTGCGGTCTGACTCGTACTTCTCGCAGGTCTCTTCCACTGTGTCGCAGACCTTCCTCAAATAATGGAAGAGCTGAGTCGCGGAGTAGGGAGGTGCTCTCGTGAACACAAGCTCCGATGAACCTGTCGGCTTCCCTAGGCGACTGTCACAGCCACGACAGGCTGTCATTCACCTCGATAAGCCGAAACACTACGGAACAAGAAGTTTAGGCTACTCACTCTTTACACCCGGGGGCGGATTACCATAGGTTCTGTATGGGTTCTTTGGCTCCAGACACTTGACGAAAAGCGATCCTGCAGCCCCCGGGGCAAGGCTCTATGTCGAGCTTGCCGCAAAGAAGGGGCCAAGTTCACCTGAAGGGGCCAAGAGCGAAAAGCGCTGAGCAGCGCTTGTAAGAAGCCCAAAAAACCCTCTTGCACAGCCAAGCTCGCTGCTGAAAGTTCCATCCAATCCGCCAAACAACTTCTGCGCACACTTGCCTCAGTTCAGTTCCTCAATGGCTGATGATTCCAGCAGTATTTGTCTTTAGGTACTCGGTACTCATGGCGTCCAGCTGTGGCCTGCGAGTTCTTTTTTTCCCCAAAGCCTCTGACTATATAAGTACGCTCCAGGATTAACAACGGCTCTTGAATTTGTTTGATTAGGCTGAAGGGAGCCAGCTCTTCCTCAGACGCGCCATTCCAGCTTTTGACCATTATCACGAAAGATCGTTCTGCAAACATCTAACACAATTTCACGGCCCATGCATGTTTCAATTGCTACGGGAATGGTATGGAATGGCTACAAGCATCTGACAGAGTATACGTTGAGTTTACAGGTATGTCAAATATGTCACCACTGTCACCACATTAATTACAGCTGTTTGGGCCTTGGGTGACGCAAGGCTTTTGCTTCATATTCCTGCTAGCACGCACCAGCGCTCAGAACTAAAAACCTTATATAGGTTTGGGCAAGTGTGCGTATCGAATATTGACCAGCATGAGTCCTACATTGAACTTTGATTCATATTACCCAACACCAATGATTAGGAACAGTTTGTTCGTCTGTCGCCCGAAGAAGGGTATTGGGAACACATATCAGGGTGGCAAACTCCCAAACAAATTGTTTCAACAATTTCTGCCTTCTGCGCTTTGGTGTCAAAGTTCTTTGTTGCATTTGAGCTGGGACTTATCTGCATTCGAGAACCATCCCGTGAAGAACTTCTTTGCAATCGATCCTCGGATACTAGATTCTGCAGTGGATCTCTTTACTCGGCCAATTGACTCTCATCTGTCTTCATGTCCAACTTGTTTGTCATTGCCGACCGAAGGCTGGACTGGGAAGGGCTTGCAAGTTGCCTGGGTTTCTTGTGGCCAGGCCAATCTGGATCTGGATTTCGCACTTCTCCTCATTTTTACTTCAAAAGCGTTCGTCCAAGGGCAGAAGCTTGGCAACCAGTTGGCGTGCAAACTTTAAGCACTTTTGGAAACTCCTCCAGCAATCAAATAATGAGGTTGGACGCTTGCTCCGCTGGAAAGAAAAACACGTCGCTTTTGCCGGGGCTCCTCCTCAAACTATATAAACCTCTTCTCCAGTGACCCTGGCACTGGCCCTGAACATGCAAAGTACATTGTACATGTCAAAAACACCTCCGAAAAACACACAAGAACCCTGCGTTTTAGCCACTCTGGAAGTGGCATCTTCAAATCAGACTTGCATATCGCGCAGGGCCTCGATTGGCGTAAATGTCTTTTGTATGTGTAACGTATTGTAAAGTACCATGCCATGTCTCTCCCAATTGACTTTCGGGGGTTGCTATGCCTGGACAGCATGTCGAACCCAAACTGCTCAAGCGTCAAGTTCGTGCATGTCCATAGTTTTGGTCTGGGGACACTTGTTCACTGTAAATCTGTCAAATCCACTTACTGAAGCGTTTGCAGATAGTAAGTGACCAAAAATTTGAATCACATCACACGCAACACCCCGCCCTTCTACAAGACATATGCAAATTGCAAATTGCAGCAGCAAACCTTCCTTTCCCCTTTTGGAGTTGATTTGGGAGACCTTTTCTGAACAACATTGAATCTTTGAGGTTTTTGTTCTAACACCAACATGTCTCACCGAAATCCTAGGCACTTAAAGATTTCCCATGAAACAAAATCTTGAAACCTGCCTGAAATGTCCTTCCAAGATCTTTTCCACAAAACAAAGTCTTGCAGTGAACCCATGTATTGGAAAGCGGCCAAACGCAGGCTGAAATCAGCACGCCAAGAAAAATGTGCAAACCGCACCCCTTGACCCATGGATCAAGGATGATAAATTGTCTGGTGTTTAAAACTGCCACAGGGTGGCATTGAAGACTAGCGACATCATGCTTCCCGTGCTCATGCTGAGAAACTTGAGTGTCGCACCTCAGAAACATCCTGACCAAAGGAAACCTGGCACGCCCAGGCCACGTCTATGAGCACAAAATAGCGTGTGCTTTCAAAATGTTTTGGACATCTGCAAATTCCCATATGATTTTGGTGGGAATGTGTGTGCGTGCGTGCGTGCGTGCGTGGGTGTGTGTGTGTGTAACCCTTGGAATCATAGGGATCCTTTTGGATTTGTTCGGTTGGCTTTTTGTCAGAGCAGGGGGCACCGGAGGGGCTGATGAGACCGGTGCTAACAAAGACACTCATCAGTCACCTGTGATACAGTTGGAGACGTCCAACTGCGTACCTGCAATTTTTCCAATTTTCTGCATGGCGTGAGGCTAAGCCAAGGGGGACGGGACACCACTGGCACCGCCCGTCCAACGAAAAGGGCGTCGGTGGTGATGCAGTGGAGGACGCTCCACTGTGTACCTGCGAGAATTTTTGAGAAAGCTGTGACTCCACTTCTCCATTTTTTTGGTTCATGGTCCTTGCGCGATACCTCCACAAAGCCTTTTCCTGCCGATGAGCCGCGCCGTTCGTTTCGCCACCGCCGTGTCGTGAGCTGTAGATGTGCGTAAACCTTTGTTAAACAATACTTTTCTGCGGACCTTGCCACCTTTCTGTTCCATCGCCCTTTTCGACCTGGGAACTGAGGTAACTGCAAACCCAATATCAAAGTGTGTGCCGCTGTGCCGTCCCGTGTGGGTGCACAGTGTGATCCCCGTCACTGGGGCGCTGATTTCATGCCGGATTACCACTAACTGACTTTACAGCTTTCTGCGCTCGTTGGATTATCTTAACCGATTTTCGTTTCACTACTGTATTCTCAAAAACAAAAGCCGCCGGGCTTCACGGAAACTCAAAGCCGCCGGGCTTGCCCCTCCCTCGTCCCTCTAATTAGGGTAACAGAGCGAAATAGTACTCGACACAGTTGTGCGTCGGTGCCTTTCCCTCTGTTGTCCCTTTCTAGTTACTCTACCCGGGCGGTTTAAGACTAAAGTCCCGCTCCCTAACTATTGCACCTAATTCACTTCTGCTAAGTAGTCAGTAACTCTAGAGTGTTAGGTAGTCATACACAAACACACACGGACACACACACACACGCATGTTACATACATCCCCTCCCTACCCCCACTTTCTTTCTTGCGCTTTTCGTCGTTTGTTCTCTTGGCCTTTCTCCCAGGCTTTTAGGTGGTTCTTGAGGCTCGTTTCCCTACCCCAGTCAAGGGCTAAGTATTCACTTTTCGCTACTCCTATCTTTCTCTCCTGCCCTTTTAGCGCTGCTCTTTCTGTCTTTCTTAAGGCTTTTTAGGCGCCTATTCAGGTTTTTACGCCAGAGCGCCGCAAAGCGGCTGAGTGCGTGTGTGTGTGTGTGTCACACTCTGTTTCCAAGAGTTTTCAACACGCACGGGGACGGGACACCACGGGCACCGCCCGTCCAACGAAGAGGGCGCCAGTTGGTGGTGATGCAGTGGAGGACGCTCCACTGTGTACCTGCGAGAAATTTTGAGAAAGCTGTGACTCCACTTCTCCATGTTTTTTCATGGTCCTTGCGCGATACCTCCACAAAACCTTTTCCTGCCGATGAGCCGCGCCGATCGTTTCGCCACCGCCGTGTCGTGAGCTGTAGATGTGCGTAAACCTTTGTTAAACAATACTTTTCTGCGGACCTTGCCACCTTTCTGTTCCATCGCCCTTTTCGACCTGGGAACTGAGTTATATAACTGCAAACCCAATATCAAAGAGTGTGTGCGTGTGTGTGTGTGCCCCCCTCCGTATCTAGGATTTTGGATTTATCACCGCCTCGTCATACCCACCGTAACGCAACGAAGCTACGGTATGACGAGGGAAGGGTGGACTGATCATCCACCTGTACCTGCGCTGAACACAATGACTCCACTGGTCTCCCTTGCTGCTGTCTTTTTGTCTCCATGGTGGTTTCTCGCGATACCTCCCATGAAACCCCTTTTGCTGCCGCGTTTTGCAGCTTGACACCGCCGCGTTCTGCAATCAGGCGCAAACAGTGTTTCCAACCATTCAAGTGAGCTGACTCCATCGCCTTTCCGTTCTCTCACTCCTTTCGACGTGGATCAGGATTAACTGAGAACCCTGTGAATAAGTGCGTATCGCTGTGGAGTCGTCCCACTGGGTGCACAGTGTGATCCCCTGCAAGGGGGCGCTGAAGCCATTGTGTATATCAAGCTTTTCTGACTCGAAGTGCCGCCATCGTGGATTCTGGTTTGAATTGAATTTTGTTTCACCCATGAATCAACCGATCGCAAAGCGGCCGCGCATACGGAATATCAACCTTTCTTCACGTTCTGCAAGGTTGAAGAGCTTTTCAAGAGCTGATTCCTTTTTGGGTTTTGCATGTACTTCTAACTCTTGATGAGTCTTTCCAGACCACCTTGTCAACTTGTACATTCACAAAGGACACGCAGCAATTGACTGCAAGCGGCTACGTGTGCGTGTGTAACCCTTGGAATCAAAGGGAACCTTAAGGGATGGAACAGGGGGACGGGACACCTCTGGCATTTCCCGTCCAACGAAGAGGATGCCAGCAGGTGCTGATGCAGTGGGGGACGCCCCACTGTGTACCTGTTCCACTATTTAGGAAAACAGGAGGAAATGGTACTCGACACACTTGTGTGTCGGTGCCTTCCCTTCTGTTTTCCTATAGACTACTCTACAGGTTTGCAGGTAGGCCTCCAAACTTTGTAAGGGGTTCTTTAACTTGAACTTTGGCCTCTACCCACTAGATTGACCCCCAACTCGCTGTTTTGCTGTCTTGTGCTTTTGTGCTTCTTGTAACCTTGTAGCACTGGCCTCCAACTTGGTACCCTGGCCTCTACCCACTAGCAAGGACCTCCAACTTTGACTGTCTTGTGGTTTTTCTTGCGCTTTGTAACCTGGTAGCGCTGGCCTCTAACTTGGTACCCTGGCCTCCAACCTACTAGCGATGACCTCCAACGTTGCTTTTGCTGTCACTTTGTGTCTATGGTCCACCGCCTACTAGCGATGGCCTCCAACCTTAGGTCTTGGCCCCAACAGCCTCGCGTTGACCTCCAACCCAAAACTACTATTTCCTGGCACCTCAGGCCTTACAACTAACCTAGGCCAGCGTGTGGCATCGCTTTCAGTTCAGTACACCCTATCCTAAGTGTGTGTGCGTGTCCCCCTCCGTATCTAGGACTTTGGATTTATCATCACCGCGCGCAGGGGCGTACGGCTCGTCATACCCGCCGTACGCAACGAAGCTACGGTATGACGAGGGAAGGGTGGACTGATCATCCACCTGTACCTGCGCTGAACACAATGACTCCACTGGTCTCCCTCGCCGCTGTCTTTTTGTCTCCATGATGGTGGTTTCTCACGATACCTCCCATCAACCCCCTTTTCCTGCCGCGTTTTGCAGCTTGACACCGCCGCGTTCTGCAGTCAGGCGCAAACAGTGTTTCCAACCATTCAAGTGAGCTGACTCCATCGCCTTTCCGTTCTCTCACTCCTTTCGACGTGGATCAGGATTAAATGAAAACCCTGTGACTAAGTGTGCGTCGCTGTGTCGCCCCACTGGGTGCACAGTGTGATCCCCCGCAAGGGGTGCTGAAGCCATCGTGTATCAGGTTTTTCTGACTCGAAGTGCAGCCATCGTGGATTCTGGTTTGAATTGAATTTTGTTCCACCCATGAAACAACCGATCGCAAAGCGGCCGCGCATACGGAATATCCACCTTTCTTCGCGTTCTGCAAGGTTCAAGAGCTTTTCAAGGGTTTTTCGTTATTTTTCATGACACTCCATGTACAGCTAGCGTCACCTGCAAGATTCGATGGTCACTTTTTAATTGCTCGATTCCTTTTTGGGTTTTGCGTGTACTTCTAACTTTTGATGAGTCTTTCCAGACCCACAAAGGACACGCAGCAATTGACTGCCAACGGTTTTTAAGAGCGAGAAAAGATTTCAACCTGCTGCGAGCGAGCGCCGCTAAGCGGCTACGCGTGTGTGTCCCCCTCCGTATAAAGTTTGGACATATCACCGCCGCGCGCAGGGGCGTACGGCTCGTCATACCCTCCGGACGCAACGAAACTACGGTATGACGAGGGAAGGGTGGACTGATCATCCACCTGTACCTGCGCTGAACACAATGACTCCACTGGTCTCACTCGCCGCTGTCTTTTTGTCTCCATGGTGGTCTCTCACGATACCTCCCGTCAACCCACTTTTCCTGCCGCGTTTTGCAGCTTGACACCGCCGTGTTGCGCAAACAGTGTTTCCAACCATTCAAGTGAGCTGACTCCATCGCCTTTCCGTTCTCTCACTCCTTTCGACGTGGATCAGGATTAACTGAAAACCCTGTGACTAAGTGTGTGGGTGGGTGTGCATTGTGTCTGCGCTAACTCCGCTGCTTCAGACTGATTGTAACTGCACGGCGCCTTCTTCCTTTTCTCAGGCGCAGCATCAGAACCACAGGCCTCCCAGGATGAATCTGAGGGAAATTGAGTTCTGATCGACTACAACCAAACTTGCGTCTGCGTGAACTGTTCAAGGGACTCCCTCTCAACTCAAAAGTGTTTGGGCTTTTGAAAGCACATACAGTAATGTGTGGGAACGCAGGATATACGACACCTGCAAACAAATCAGTTGGGGTAGTCCACCACCTCACGCTGTGCTGACCGTGGAATGCCCAGCCCCATCTCCTGCAAATCTCTAAAGCGATCCGGGCCCAGGACCTGACGGAGATCTGACCCAAACGGAGAGTTTCAGCGACAAGTGCGTCACGTGCCAGGAATTTGCAAGCGAACCTTTGTTGGGCTGTGTGGCTATAGATTTATCACTTCCATGAAGCTATGTATATACTGAAAACAAGAAATGTATTATAGTTGTATAGTGTATATACACACCTAGGGTTCCATTGTTGGCGCCTCGTGTGTCTGCCAAAGGCCAGCCTATATAGGTGGGTAGCGCCAGCGGGAAACTTCACTTGTGGGAGGGGGCTGATTTTGGAACGTGGGATTCGGCTCATTTTGGAACACACAGAATTTGTTCGTTGAAACTCATTCTGGAACACATGATTCGGCTCACTTTAGAACACAACAGCCCCGTCGCCCTGTGGAACAAATTCCGGCGTTCGTTCGCGGGTAGTATGCCTTCCTGGGTTGCTTTGATCTCGTTCAAAAAAAGTGGGAGGGGGCGCAGGGGAGGGCGCAGCGCCTCTGCCGCAATGTAAACCAAGTCTAGTGGCTTCGTTGGTGGGGCTCGTTGGTAGCTAGGGTTCGTTGGTTGCTTCGTTGCTTGGCTTAACCCCCGCATGGCTCACAAACGGCATGCTTTGGGGCACCTTCCTGCTCCAAATTTTACCCTCGCGTGGCTCACAAGAGGTATGCTACCTTGGAACGGCACCTTCTTGCTCTAAAATTTACCCTCGCGTGGCCCACAAAAAGTATGCTTTGGTATGGCACCTTCCTCCTCTAGATTACACAAGGTACGCTACCTTGGAATGGCACCTTCCTGCTCTAAATTTAACCCCCGCGTGGCTCACAAAATGTATGCTTTGGAATGGCACCTTCCTCCTCTAAATTTTGCTCTTGCGTGGCGCACGAAAGGTATGCCACTTTGGAATGGCATCTTCCTCCTCGCAAAAAGTGTGCAACCTTGGAATGGCATCTGCCTCTTCTAAATTATGCCCTCCGCGTGGCTCACAAAAGCTACGCTACCTTTGGAATGAAAGGTATGCTTTGGAATGAAAAATTGCACGAACACAATAGAAAAACACACCAGAAAAACAAGACGAAGAAAACACCACCAGAAGGAAACAGAACTGCAGCTCCTGGGAGTGCAGTTTTCCGCTCTTTTCATTAGCAATAGGCCTAGATTTTACTACATTGCTACATAAACTGCACTCCCATATGCATGATCACACCTGAACCTGGTAGCAGGCAAGGCAATATTTGCAGACTCTTGGAACGAGGGAGGCCAAAAACATCAAACAACAAAAAACAAAAATATTCCCAGACTCTCTGCATAGGGGGTCCCAGCCAAGACTCTCTGAATATTGTTTTTTCTTTTGTTTTTTGTTTTCCCGAGGTTCTGGAAAAAACAAAAACAAAACTGCAGACCCCATGAGCCGTCCCAAGACTTCAGACATAGGGCGCGCAGCTCCTTTTAAATATGCTTATTTCTTTATTTGATTCCAAAAAACTACTATTTATTTGCGTTGCTCTTCTAAACATGATTATTTTCCATTAAGGGATTTTTAATGTATTTTCCTGTTTTAAATCATGTCGTTTTTGCATTGGTTCTTTTTCACGTTAAAACGTAAAAAGACATTGATTCCTTTAACGGTGTAATATTTTCAATTTGTTTCCCTTTTAAAAATGTTATTTACTTTAATTTCCTTTTCAGAATGATTGGTTCCTGGTATTTTCCTTAAACAATTACTTCCCTTTCTATTTTAAAAATATAATTTCCTTTTAGTGTCCTTTCAACAATGATTATTTTTGCGTTCACGTCCTTTTAGAAATGACTAATGTTATTGATTACTATTTCCTTTTGACAATGATGAATTCCTCTCATATCCTCTTTAAACAATTATTTATTGTTCTATGTTCTGCCAAAAACTTTTTGCTTCTTTTCATGTACCTTTTGAAAATGACCAATTCCTTTCATTTCCCTTTAGCAATGATTAATTTCTCTTTCAATATGAAAGGATATGACCAATTTTAACGTGGACATGAAAGGAATTGTTAAATATAATGGAATTAAACATTTGCAAAGGATGAATGAAAGGAATAAGTAAAGTTAAAGAGAAAATAACAAGAAAGAACCGCTCTAAAGAAAATATATGTATTAATCGATTTTAAAAGCAAAAAAACAGATTTAACAGGAAAATTGAAGGAAATTATACCAAGTGCAAGTTGCAAGTTGAAAAAGAGGTTCATAAAATGGAAAACGAAATATGGGAGGGATGAATCAACTTTAAAAAAGAAATTAAAGGACCGGATAACCCCACATATGAATCTTTACGAATCTGAAGGTCCTAAAGCACAAAGCAGTCAGAGTCTCAATAGCTTCTACAACACGGCCTTGTCAGGAAGTGATATCAGCTTCCGACAACAGAGGGGTGGGTCAGGTGTAAGAGAGTGATGTGCTATTGTGCACAGGTGTGCGCAGCCACAACTAGCCAAAGTAAAACCCCATCGCTCTGCCGACGCAAAACCCCATAGTCAAACTCTTTTTCATCGCGCAAATGAAATCAGGTCGTGTTGGTGAACCTGGGCGATGGCATGAGCACTACATTCAAAAGACATCATTCTAGGAACAAAATCTGCTGTAAAAGTGAAGACCAAAGACTTTGGATAACTTCGTTTGTCACTGTCAGCACATCATTCGCGCCTTGGAAAGATAGAATAACTTCGTGTACTGCCGTACCTGCGCATGGCCGATCTTTCGATAAAAGCAAAGCAGCACTCCACATAGAAACAGTGAACTGTAGGAAAGCAGGCGCTTTTTGTTTCTAGGTTTTGTCATTGAAAGCACACCGAAACTCCTTTTCTTCATCGCGCAGACGAAAGGGTTAGTATCTGCAACAAGATGTAGGTGCGAAGTGGCATCTGTCCGGCAGTGCTTTCCAAAGGGGATCGTAAGATGCAGGTGCGAAGTGGCATCTGCCTGGCAGTGCTTTCCAAATGGGATCGCATCTGCGAGAAGACGCTATGCTCATCTGCGTCACAGGTGCGAAGTGGCATCTGCCCTGCAATGCTTTCCAAATGGGATCGTATCTGCAAGAGGATGCTATGCTCTCATCTGCGTCACAGGTGCGAAGTGGCATCTGTCCTGCAATGCTTTCCAAATGGGATCGTATCTGCAAGAGGATGCTACGCTCATCTGCGTCACAGATCTGTAACAAGATGTAGGTGCGAAGTGGCATCTGCCCTGCAGTGCTTTCCAAATGGGATCGTATCTGCAAGAACATGCTATGCTCTTCTGCGTCGCAGAGCTTTGGTGCGAAGTGGCAAACATGAACATCCCATTGCTCACGTAGACGCAGAGCGCCATCTCGGCATCGTTCTGCTCTCTTTTGGAA